ACACCTTCTGCAAACATCAGGTGGATGAGAACGTGATGAACATGGTGTTGTGACTGACTGTAGACAACACTGAAATGATGTTTGTAAACCTACACAAAACACGAGCAAACTGCTGGGTCTTTTCTCCATGGACTTTGGTCTGAGCAAAAATCACTGATTTTCTCAATGGACTTTGGTCTAAGCAAAAATCACTGACTTTCTCAATGGACTTTGGTCTGAGCAAAAATCACCGACTTTCTCAATGGACTTTGGTCTGAGCAAAAATCACCGACTTTCTCAATGGACTTTGGTCTGAGCAAAAATCACCGACTTTCTCAATGGACTTTGGTCTGAGCAAAAATCACCGACTTTCTCAATGGACTTTGGTCTCAGCTGAAAAAATCACCTCTAATCCTAACCCTAGTCCTAATCCTAAAATTAGTCCTAATCTTAAACCCAACCCTTGACCTGATGCAGATCAACTAAAGCATCCCCCGGTTTGTGTACTGGTACCGGTCTGTAGTTTTACTAATTTACTTCATCCCATGTTTTACTGCAAAAATGTAATATTACTGGTCAACACTGAAGGCTGATACCGGCCGACTGGTTCTTGGTACATAAAAATTTGGTGACAGCTGAACTATATTCCAAGTTCTTGTCCTGTGGTTTTGCGTTTATGTACGAAACTCATACAGGTCTTGATCCGGGTCAGACTCTATACCCTATCGTTGACCTGACCGTGTGGCCCACATGAACCTGTCTGATCTGGTCCACAGACTTCCTCCAAGGTCCTAATCCTTTCACATGTTGATTTTCTGTTAATTTTGTTTCTCCAGGTCTTCTACACAAACCCTCGCTACATCCTCTTTATCCACCTAGTGGTGAATGACATGATCCAAGTGACGCTGTCCGTGATCCTGTTCGTCATCAGCTACGTCATCTACAGACTCCAGGTCCACGTCTGCTGCGTCCTGATCCTGATCGCCCTCTTCACCACGGAGAACACTCCTCTGAACCTGGCCTGCATGGCCGTGGAGTGTTACATCGCCGTCTGCTTCCCCCTCCGTCATGTCCACATCTGCACCGTCAGGAGAACCTGGTTTCTGATTGGTCTGATCTGGACGACCAGCATGCTGTCGGTTCTTCCGGACCTCTTCATCACTTTAGCCATGGAGCCCGTGGACTTCTTCTACTCCCGGGTCTTCTGTCTGAGGCATACTGTGTTTCCAGACCCTCGGATCATCCAGAAGAGGGATATCAGTTACGCTTTGTTCCTGGCTTTGGTCTGGATGGTCATCTTTTACACCTACTTCAGGATTTTGTTCACGGTAAAAACAACGAGTCAAGACGGACGGAAGGCCAGAAACACTATCATCCTCCATGGGTTCCAGCTCCTGCTCTGCATGACCAGCTATGCTAGCCCTGCGTTAAAAGACGCTCTGTTTCTGTGGTTCCCTCAGAACTACACCGACTCTCTCTTCGCTGTCTACGTCATAGCTCAGATCCTGCCTCGATCCATCAGTCCCATCATCTACGGTGTACGCGACAACGCCTTCAGGAAGCATCTGAAAAAACATCTGCTGATTAGAGTTGACAGGTCTTGAGGGTTCTGAGGGATCAGAAGAACTAAGAAAAGATGATAAATAAATACTATTCAATAAATACATTTTCTCAATGACATTTGGTCTGAGATCTAAAATCACTGATTTTCTCTCGGGACTTTGATCTGTGAGCTAAAGTAATTGATTTCCTCAATGAGTTTGGTCTTTGAGCTAAAATCGCCGATTTTCTCTATGGTCTTTGGTCTGTCACTAATCACTAATTTTATCTGTGACGTATGGTCTGACCTAAAATCACTGATTTTCTCACGGGACTTTGATCTGTGAGCTAAAGTCATTGATTTCCTCAATGAGTTTGGTCTGTGAGCTAAAATCACAGATTTTCTCTATGGTCTTTGGTCTGTCACTAATCACTAATTTTATCTGCGACGTATGGTCTGACCTAAAATCACTGTTTTTATTTATGATGTTTGGTCTGTGAGATAAAATCATAGATTTTCTGTAGGAGATTTCATTTGGACTTAAATCACTGTTTTTCTCATACTATGAGGTGAACATGTATTTTTTTTTTTTTTTTTCCATCCTCATAGAGTTCAAATAAAATCTAACAAAAAGAGTTTTCGTCTTTTTTTTTTTACAGTTGTACAACTTGTTTAACTCACACACACACACACACACACGTGATGGTGTCGTCATGAGATCATCGTCAGCTGCAGTGTTAAAGTCTGTGGTCTGTTCTGCCACCGGGCTCAGTCCACAACTACCGTCACCTTTGCTGCAGGTTGTTATTCTTCTCTTTCATACGAATCTTGATGTTGTTTTATTTAAATGATGTGTCTCAAATCTTCTTTGTCACTGTCTCGCTGTCTCTGTTTTTGTCTCTCTCACTGGCGATGTCTCTGTCCTCGTCTCTGTCTCTCAGATCTTTGAAAATGTCCTCCATGAATTTTTCCTCCTCGCCGAACGTGTCTTCAGTCAGTCAGCGGGATTCTAAGGAAGTCGCTGTGGTCAAAAACATAATTGTCGTCCTTCTCGGTCTCACCATCAACTACATCAACGCAACACTGGTCCACACCTTCAGGAAACACCAGGTCAGAAGACAACTAGCTTTAGCTGTTGTGTTGTTTTCTACGGTTTTGTCTAAAGTTAGAGCACAGTATTAGAGTTTTGCATCGCTTTGGGTTATCAGAACTCCGCCAGCTACAAGGAATCTTTCTGCCTCTCTACGTCACTGACTTCTCAGCTACCTTAGCTAGCTCCTTCTGGGTTAGCATCGGAGTGACATTTACAGTTTAACTGTTGACGTATTTCTCTAACATCTAATCTTCGTCACAAATAATTTATCATTATTATTCTTGCTAACATTGAAATACTCGATTTGATTTTGTTTAGCTGCCAGTGCTCTTACGTAGACAGTCAACACCTGAATAAATGTTTCCTATTCTAAGGTTTCCTAACACCTCAGCTGATGTTAGCTGTCTGAGCTTTTTTGCTAACACTTTACGAATTGCTTCGTTCAAACCATGCTCAAAGATGCATCATTAGTGTAAATGTTCTTGTTTTCTAAATGTTACCCATTTGTACCGTACATTGGCAAGCATTTGGCTATTACTTCTGCTTCTGTTAGCATTCAGATATATTATCTACTTGAAGCAATCCAAGGTTATCCTTAGGCTAAGTTGAAGCTGTATCTTTTTTCTAAAACGTATTTATCTTTCAGATCTTTTACCTGACTCCTCGTTACATCCTCTTCGGCAATCCAAGGTTATCCTTAGGCTAAGTCGAAGCTGTATCTTTTTTCTAAAACTTATTTATTTTTCAGATCTTTTACTTGACTCCTCGTTACATCCTCTTCATCCACCTGGTGGTGAATGACATGATTCAGCTCACCGCCACCATCTGCCTTTTCGTCTCCAGCTACGTCTTCCACAGAATCCATGCTTCACTCTGCTGCCTCCTGCTGACCGCTGCTGTGTACACCACTTTAAACACTCCGTTGAACTTGGCCGTAATGACGGTGGAGTGTTACATCGCTGTCTGTCTGCCGCTCAGGCACGCCCGCTTCTGCACTGTCAAACGAACCTACATTCTGATCGGCTGGATCTGGGTCATGAGCTCTGTGTCCACACTGCCCGACATCTTCTTCACCCTGAGTTCTGAGACCGTTCGCGTCCTTCACTCCAACATCTTCTGTTCTCGGGAGGAGTTGTTCAGACATCCTGTGCTTGTACAGAAACAGGACGTGTCCTACATCCTCTATCTGTTTGGTGTTTGGGCCACGCTTTTCTTCACCTACTTCAAGATCTTCTTCACTGCCAGAGCAGCCAAACAAACCAAGTCCAGCGACGGAAACACCAGCAAAGCCCGGAATACCATCCTGCTGCACGGTTTCCAGCTGATGATGTCCATGTTGACCTTCATCTACCAGCATGTGAACAAGGCCCTGTTCTCGTTGTTCCCCAAAAACTACATCCAGATCCTATTTGTCTGGTACATCAGCGTCCAGATATTCCCTAGGTTCATTAGCCCAGTGGTCTACGGGCTTCGAGACCAGACCTTCAGACAGCACCTGAAAAAGTATCTGGCCTGCATATTGAGAGCTGGTGTCAGACCATGTACCACCACCAAACTGCTGCTGATCTGTTAAGAAGCTAGCTCACATCTAAGACTTTATGAAGTAAAGACCGACAATGGGATGGAAAAAACGTTTACAAAGTATATGGTAGGAGAGGCAGGAAGACATGAAGACACTGATGTTGACAAAACAGGATCAAGTTAGAAGGACTACAAAAAGACCCCAATGAAGTAGACAAGAAATAAATTCTGGGAAGTAGGACGACAATAATCCAGGGGTGGAACTTCACAGGTTGATTTGGTTGTGAAGTGACTAAAGACAAAATAATGCATTAAAATATGATAATTATCTTTCTCAGATCCAGTACCCCATTCCACAATTCATCCAGTAGGGGGCAATAATGCACTTTAGTTCATTATGAAAAAACTGCAGCGAGAGTCATCAGCAAACCAAGAGTTCTCTTAACACTGCAGTTTGTCAAGTCTATAATATACGAGCACAGACACCAGAGTTAACGTTAGCTACAACAGGTCTGATACAGAGAACACAGCTAATGTTAGCTACAACACTCCTGGTACAGACACCAGAGCTAACGTTAGCTACAACAGTCTTGGTACAGACGCCAAGCCTAACGTTGGCTACAACAGTCCTGGTACAGACAACAGAACTAATGTTAGCTACAACAGTCTTGGTACAGACGCCAAGGCTAACGTTGGCTACAACAGTCCTGGTACAGACACCACAACTTATGTTAGCTGTGACAGTTCTGGTACAGACAACACAGCTAACGTTAGCAGTCCTGATATCTGTAAATGTACTGCGAGTTTGTAGTAACCACTAACGTTAGCTACAACAGTCCTGATATCTGTAAATGTACTGTACTGAGTTTGTAGTAACCTGTGAATGTAGTTGACAGATGAAAATGTAGAGAAGGCAGATATGTAGAAAAATAAACATTGTGTTCTTTAGCTTCACATTGTTGTCTTCTCACTGGTTCTGTCCTGTAGCTAAATGAATTGAATAGTTTCTTATTCTTTAGCTAAAAAGTCATCACATGACGTTGTCTCATGGTCATGTTGGCTACAGTTATTTCTAAGTTTTTATTTGGCTAACCCATAGCTATCTTTATGCTAAATACAGCTCAGTTGTTTAGTTGATAGCTAACTCTTGTTTATGCTTTGTGTATATACAGAATCTTTAGGCTGCTGTACTGCCATCTATAGCTCTATTTCAATTTGGAAATATTTCTGGTCAGACCCCCTTAGGGTCAACAGACCACCATACTCCTCCTCTTGAAAATGAAAAAGTATACAACTGCATATTCTGTATTTCATTAAAACTGTCTGAAAATGGACGATGATTCTTTCTCTCACTCTCTCCCTCTCTCTCTCCCTCTCTCTCTCACACACACACAAGCACACCTACATGGACAGACGTGTTAATACCATGACCTCTGCTATATCGCGTCTATAAATGTCACCTTTACTCCTGACTTCTCAGAAGAGTTGGTCTCGTTCATAACTCAGGTGAGTTTCACACTTGGATGCCTGATTTAAATTAATACATTTGAAAAATAAAACACATTTTTAAAGTGTTTCTTTTACATCGTTTAATTCATGTTTTCATTCATTTATATGCACTTTATTGTCCATCTAGTCTTTATTGAGCACAGGTTGAAGGTTTAGATCTCTTTTTAATGTGTAACTTTTATGCAGGTACAGCTGTGTGATAATAATAATAATAATATTTATATGAAATCTTTATATGGCTATTTTTAACCTAAAGTTTACAGTATGTTTGTGTTTTCTGACGATGTCAAACTGTTTCACTGATGACTAAACTTTAACATCTGTCGGTCTGTATCGTTGTGACTTCAGTGTTTGATCCACGAAAACTGACGGTATAATAGTAGTTGTCTCCGTCACACTCTAATCCTAATCCGTAATCCAATACTCTGACATACACTGACCTGAAACAGACATGGGTGTTGTGTTTAGTTTACTTTAGGAGCCCAACCGGAAAAATGAGAAGATTTCATAGGACAGATTGAAGGATTTTTAGATTTTGTTTAGTCCTTTACACTTTTGTCATTCTGGGTTTTTTTTTCATTTCTGTTATGATATCAGTTTGTGTATTTTTGGCTACTGTGTTTTACTACGACAATAAAAGTTCTGCTGTTATGATATCAGTTTGTGTATTTTTTGGCATCTGTGGAGCTACTGTGTTTTACTCTATTCTATTTTCATTTATGGCATCATCATGATCGGAACTTTATTTTCATTTTTCTCCTCAAGAGATGTTTTAGGCCAGACTTTTGAGATCAGTACATTGGTCTAATTCTTGACTCTGCTGCCCCCTGTGGACAGACCAACTTCCATTTCTGGAATCAGCCAAGTCCCACCTTCTTAAACTGGTTTACTGGACCTTGGAACTTAAATCTGTTTCTAGTGTTATATTTATTTTTTCTTATTTTTATTCTGTTCTGTATTCTGTCTTCTGCACTGTAAAACTATCACCTTGTGTAAAAATAGCGTAATGTTGTCAGAAATTAAGACAATTTGCATATGGTTCTTTATGCCCATGTATACTTTTATACTTAATTAGCAGCCATCTAGGTAACACTAACAATTATGGGTCACATATGTGATTGTACCCAAATTGTCCTTGGTCCGGGTTAGTGTAGGACAGGGGTCCCCGGTCTGTAGGTCATTTGGTAGCAGGCCGCAGTGGGACACAGTGAAAAAAAAAAAACTTCATTTAAAAAGACTGGATGAAAATTTTAAAAAGACTCTGCAGTTAACGGCTGATACCAGCCGACCTGTCCTTGGTACAAAAAAGGTTAGGGACTGCTGGGGTAGGCTACATGCCAGACTGTACTTGAAGCCCTAGAATTCTAGGTGAAATGTGTTTTTATTTCAGGGTATAGTGTTAGTAGTGCTCCGGCCCAGTGTTATACACTGGAAATATGCTTGTAGTTTAGTAGAAAAAAAAAATTTCATTTATTTTTATTATAATTTCTCAGCAGTGAAGAAGAGACTGATGAACTCCTCAAACACCTCTCTGACGTCTGTCCACAGAGACGACATCCAAACAGCCATCATCAAGAATGTCATCACTGTGGTTCTCTGTATCTGCATCAACTACGTCAACGGTACTCTGGTCCACACCTTCAGCAAACACCAGGTCACGTACACCTACAGTCATACTGACCTACACCTACAATGACCTACAGTCATACTTGTGAGGACTGTCTGTCTCTCTTCCCTCCGGCCTGTGTTGACATCACTGCGATCACACTCACCTGTGTCTTCGTCTTAAATACATTTGCAGTGCGCCACGTTTCAAAGATCCGCAAATCCTAACCTACAGATACAGTTATACTGACCTACACGTACAATAGCTGTATCCAATGATCCTGACCTCAGTATTGTAACTATCTGTCTTGTCACAGGTTTTGAACATGAACCCTCGTTACATCCTCTACATCCACCTGGTCATCAACGACATCATCCTCCTGACCATGTTCACCCTCATCCAGGTCCTGAGTTACATCGTCTTCACCCTCAACGTCTCCCTCTGTATGGTTATGGTTTATATTGGTGTGACAGCAAGTACTAACAATCCTCTCACCCTGGCTGTGATGGCAGTGGAGTGTTACATCGCTGTGTGCTTCCCACTTAGACACTCACGAATCTGCACGGTCAGGAAAACCTACGTGGCCATGGGTATCATCTGGCTGCTGAGTTCACTTTCAACCCTGCCAGATATTTTTGTTGCCGTCGCTACTGAATCCCTGGAATTTTTTCAGTCTAGAGTTTTCTGCCTTTCCAACACAATTTTCCGACACCAGTACTTCAAAGAGAAGAGAAACATTCTGGACAATGCATTTTTGGTTCTGGTCTGGCTCACTCTGTTCTACACCTACATCAGGATCCTCAGCGCCGCTCAGGCAGCCTCAACAGATGCCAAGAAAGCCAGGAACACTGTTCTCCTGCACGGCTTCCAGCTGCTGCTGTGTATGCTGAGCTATGTTTATAACCTGATCATGGAAGGTCTGGCTTTACTGTTCCCTAAAGGAATTCTGGCCATCCGATTCAGTGTCTCCATATTTATTCACGTTCTTCCTCGACTCATCAGTCCAGTCATCTACGGGCTGCGAGACAAGACTTTCAGGAAGTACCTGAAAACTCTGTTCTGTACAACAAACGCTGAAACTCACCCACAGAAGACCTAGATGGTGTTCTGCAGCCCACGTAGGCGCTGTCCTGATTCAGATTCTGCAGCCCATGAAGGCAGTGTCCTTTTACAGTGAAGTTGTAAAAATGCATCATAGTGCAGGGAGTGGACCGTTGTAGTCCAAACAGCAACGCTGATTTAGCCTCTTTAAAAACTCTTGAAGACCTGTGTTTGGTACTGACTGAGAATTAGGATACAGTTCCGGTCTTTACCAATGTATTTAGGCTGCACCTACACTACGCCCACTTCAAAGTTCTAGTTGAGTGAGTGTTAAAAAATGGCTTCTCATAATAACCTTCTCTGAGTTTGTGACTGGTACAGGATATTTCTCCACATAAGTTCTTGTGTATTAAATGTGTTAAATATATCTTTGAGTTTAAAATGTTTTTTTTTGTATTGTATTTATTGGGCTCCGGGCTGTGAGTGACTCTCATGTAGTCTATTCTGTGATTATAAGGCAGCATTTGAGTCTAAATATATATTTGTTTATTCTCCTGTGCACATACTAGTGGACAGTGTCCATTATAGTAGGAGGCAGGTGGCGCTATGGGTCACCTCTAGTCACAAAGAATTTTTCTACTTGTACAAAGATGCTTTCTAAAAATCTTCTACATATAGATAGATGTGAACTTTATTACCCCCCCTTTTGGGAGTTCGCTCTGGGAAATACTGTATGTTGGTAGTATTGATCAATTTACTTGTTTGTTTTAACTAAATATATGGAAGTATTTAAGATAGGATTAGTTTCAATGTTCATGTGAAATAAAAGAAGAAAAAAAAAAGAACAGCGTCATCTGCAAACATAAAGAGCAAATTCAATTCGTTTAAATCAGTCAAAGAGGTTAGAAAAAAAATGTGTGTCCCAGAACAGAAAACTTGTGCGACTCCACAAAGTTACATGCAAACAAATACCCTAATTTTTGAACGCACCTGAATACATGCCACACCCACTAAATTTCAAAAGAAAATGTAATGATTCTTTAACAATAAATAAATGCTTTTTTTCCAAACAGTGCCTGTGACAGGGCTGATTACACGTTCTTTCCTGTTTCGGTGCCCCAACCATAGTTGGAATGCACAGGGGAAACCGAACCAGGGCCAAAGCTAACATTAGCTCCGAGGCTAACTCCCTTCACTTTGTGCTTGTCCACAGCAGAGGTAAACAGAAACAGGGAAGTTGGGGTCTTTATTATCAGCCACACCGACCACAACAGAACAAAAACAGAGTTTTAACAGCTCCTGTATAACCAAGGGAGACAGGGCTCAAACCGCTCTCAGCTTTCGCTACCGTTCTCTCTCTTTCGGTGCGCCCCACACACATCTACGCACACAGCCGTTCACCGACAGACATACGCTACTAGTATGACACACAGTAGCCTACCAGAGAAGTCATTGGTCGCTAACGGTATGAACTTCATTTTTGTTTAGGAAAAAAAAAATAGCGACTTATAGTTGGGAAATTGTGGCAACCGTAGCCACAGGCAACAGCACAGGAAAAACAGACCATGGACCAGTCAGGTTTTCTGGTTAACTGTAACACCATCAACAAGAAATAATACTAAGAGCTAGCCGGTAATAGAAACCCAGGAAAGCGTTAGTATACAAATGGTATTGTTAATTCAGTACCAGAGATCTGGAACATTCCATGAAAGTAGAAGTAGAAGTAGAAATGTCCAGAAACCAGAGACAGAGGAACAATGTCTGCTCTCACCAAAGGAACTTACTACAAGAACTAGGAACTTTATCTGTACTACAGTGAAAGGAAGAAACCATGTGAATTCTTACTACTGGTAGCAAGAACCACAGACAGTACCAGGAAGTAAACAAGTGCCTCCTGAATGGGGTTGAATGGGGTTTAGATCAGCAGGGGAAAGTGGAGTAACGCCTAAAAACAAACAAACAAAAAACAAACTAAAACAGAGCAAATGTTTGTTGGTGTGGCGTCAGGTGTGTGACAAGCACACACCCGTTTACGTCATGCCATCAGCAGTGAATATAAGTTTACGTCCAGCTGCGAATCAGAGCGACTCTGATTCACTACCATCTACATGGTGAGTTTTAGAACACACCTGCATTGATACTGATCACTGCATGTTGTCTGTGTGTGTGTGTGTGTGTGTTGACCTGATTCTGTTAAGAACATATTTGAGCAAAATGTTTTTTTGTTTATTCTACAGTTATTTTGTAGCAATTTAATTATTTTGTAACTTCTGTTCTGTTTTTTATTAGAAAAAACATATTTTGCTAAAATTAAAAAGAATTAAATTTCATATTGAATCACTACAATCGTTTTCATTTATGTCTGTTTTAAACAATCAGAAAAATATTGTGAATTTATTTTGTTTGTATGTTAATTTACAATCATACAACTAAATGCTATTCCATTTTTTTCTCTCTAAATAGATATATACGATCTGATTTGTTTAAGAATTTTCTAAAAGTTTTACAAAATAAAATAATATAGGAGAAACATATTTTTGAAGAAAATATTTTCAAATGATGTCCATATCAATTAGAAATGTTGAAAATGTAAAGGAAACCTAAACCCTACCTCTGACGAAAATAACATTGATTGTAAGGAGCTGAAATGTTTAAATGTATTTTTTTATTTAAAGAATTTTATAGATGTCTGCTTGAAATTTTTTTTTTTTATGATTAGGATAAAACATTTTTTTGCAACCATTCTCTGCCCTACATTTGTTGCTTCTGCTCCTAAATCTGTAACATATTCAGGATACAAAACAAATACCACTACTGCATTGGAAAGTACTAGTTTTATTTTGTCCAATGAAATATTGTATTAAATAAATAAAATAAATTATAAAATATTTTTAAATTGATTATCCTAAGAACTCACTTTACCCAAACAAAAGCTCATACTTTGTGACCAGGTTTGTGTACTTTAAGTCTGTGTAAGAAATAGATTACAGAAATAATAAATACTATGTTGTTTTACTCCGTAAATGAATAAATTAAATTGGAGAATTAGTAAGTAAAAAAAGATAAATATTTGTAGGCTATAAACATACCAACCATACAACTACCATAACTCACAATAAGACAAATATTTAGAGAGGTTGAACTTTTTGGTTATTTTGATTTGATTTACCAAAAATCCTATTTTTATTTATCTTACAAGAGCAATACAGTTGAATTCGTTGTGATTTTGTTTGTGGTGCGTTTCTATTTAAAGAATTTCAGCAGTGAAGTTGTTTAAAGAAGAAGAAGAAGAAGAGACTGATGAACTCCTCAAACACCTCTCTGACGTCTGTTGACAGAGAAGACATCCAAACAGCCATCTTCAAGAATGTCGTCACTGTGGTTCTCTGTATCTGCATCAACTACGTCAACAGTACTCTGGTCCACACCTTCAGCAAACACCAGGTCACGTACGCCTACAGTCATACTGACCTACACCTATACTCATACTGACCTAGAACTACAGTCATACTGGTCTACGCCTGTACTCATACTGACCTAGAACTACAGTCATACTGACCTACACTTAAAGATATACTGACCAACATCTAGTCATATTGACCTTCACCTACAATCATAATGACCTACACCTACTGTCGTCCTGACCTACACCTACAGTCGTCCTGACCTACACCTACAGTCGTCCTGACTTACACCTAGAGTTATAGTGACCTGAACCTACAACTAAACTGATCTAGAACTACCGTGATACTGACCTACACCTACAATTATACTGACCTACAACCAGAGATGGGGACTCGAGTTTGCGGCTCAGACTTTGCACACACAGAGACCTCAGACTCGACTTGGACTCTTGGAGGTTTTGTGAAAAATGATTGTTTTCTATTTCTGGTGTATTTACAATGAGGAAATGTTGAAACTGACAATGGCAAGCTTCATTTTTTTTTCTCATGGTTACCATATTCTGAGGGTGTGCAACTCACATATTTAGATGATGTTAACACAATGGTGAAAAACTACTGCACATGCACTCCAGACGCACCCTTTTGCATAACAAATCTGCATCACTTCAGTTTGTAGTTTGCTCACAAAAGTGCTGAATATGACACTGCGTGTGAGTGAGTGAGCACCACTGTCCACTGTCTGTCATTAAAAGCTGTGCACTGACTTACAACTGAAGTTATACTAACCTTCACCTACAGTTATGTACAGGTATACCGACCTTGAACTATAGTTACAGTATATTGACCTACAACTGTAGCAACACTGACATTCACCTAGAGTTATACTGACACACACATACAATCATACTGACCTTCACCTATAGGTATACTGACCTACAACTGTAGTAATGCTGACAATCACCTAGAGTTATATTGACTTACACCTACAATCATACTGACCTTCACCTACAGGTATACTGACCTACACCTACAGTTATCCTGACCAACATCTACAGTTACACTGACCTTCACCTACAGGTATACCGACCTATAGTTATACTGACCTACAACTGTAGCAATACTGACATTCACCTAGAGTTATACTGACTTACACATACAATCATACTGACCTTCACCTATAGGTATACTGACTGTCACAAAGACTTATACTGACCTTCACCTACAGTCATACTGACCTTGAACTATAGTTATACTGACCTACAACTGTAGCAACACTGACATTCACCTAGAGTTATACTGACTTACACATACAATCATACTGACCTTCACCTATAGGTATACTGACTGTCACAAAGACTTATACTGACCTTCACCTACAGTCATACTGACCTTGAGCTATAGTTATACTGACCTACAACTGTAGCAACACTGACATTCACCTAGAGTTATACTGACTTACACATACAATCATACTGACCTTCACCTATAGGTATACTGACTGTCACAAAGACTTATACTGACCTTCACCTACAGTCATACTGACCTTGAGCTATAGTTATACTGACCTACAACTGTAGCAACACTGACATTCACCTAGAGTTATACTGACTTACACATACAATCATACTGACCTTCACCTATAGGTATACTGACTGTCACAAAGACTTATACTGACCTTCACCTACAGTCATACTGACCTTGAGCTATAGTTATACTGACCTACAACTGTAGCAACACTGACATTCTCACACCAATGGTTTTCAGACATCCTTCTCGGGAGGAAAAGAGATATATATTTAACATTGTGTTAATGGTCCTGGTCTGGTTCATTCTGTTATACACCTACTTCATGATCATCAGCGCCGCCAAGGCGGCCTCCGCCGATGCTAAAAAGGCCAGGAACACCGTTCTCCTGCACGGCTTCCAGCTGCTGCTATGTTTGCTCACCTACGCATATAACCCGATCATGCAAAGTTTGTTGCTGCTGTTTCCTAATGCACTCCGAGACATTCGATTCAGTGTCTCCATATTGGTTCACGTTCTTCCTCGACTCATCAGTCCAGTCGTCTACGGGCTGCGAGACAAGACTTTCAGGAAGTACCTGAAAACTCTGTTCTGTGCAACAAACGCTAAAACTCACCCACAGAAGACGACCTGAGTAGATCACGATGACACCTAGTTTGAGTTTCATAAAAGGAAACTGTCAGGAAGTATGTGTGGGTCAGTGAATAATGGGTCTAAGATAATATATGATCTCCTTTCTCTAGTCCTAGGTAAGGCTACACAGAGGTCACTGTCGTCCCTGACCCAGTGACTTGTTCACTTGATTCAAAGACTTACTACCAAAATCCAATGATTTGTCCTCTTAAACCATATTAAATGTGATAGGAAATGTGTAAAGTTTTTTTTTTTTTGAATCTCAATAAACAAGTTGCAAAATTCAGTCCAACCACTAGATGCTCCCAAAAGCTTCTCAGTGGACATTTAAGGTAAGAAAAACTCCAGTTATAATATTGAAGATTTGTAGTCCTATGAAAGACTGGATGAAAAGGAGAAAGGTCTGGATGAGATCATTAAATCCTCATATCCCAACAGTAAAGATAAAAAAATCTCTAAAGAGTAAAACAAACAAACAAAAAACATTGAATTGAAAAATGATTAATAGTTTTACTTTCTGTTCCTATGATTATACTATTACAACAACTTTATTTTTATTCTGAGGTTATATGTTTAAAATATATTTTAATTGATGATTTATTGTATTGCAGTCCTATACAGATATATACATTACCTTCTATATATACTATACATTGTAAAAAGAATGTATTAATGTGTACATATATGTGCGTACATATATACAAAGAAAATTGTACTGAAATAATAATATATATTATATATAAATATATATGTACCTACATATATTTAAGATGAATCTTTGAAAATTCTTGAAAATAAATATTTTTGCATACATATACTACAAGCCAGTATAAATTCCATTGTAATTAAGAATCTAATAGTGTAATATAATATAATAGGGTGAAGACGATGTAACTCAGGACCTGGATGAGGGTGAACATGGTCAGGAGAATGTAATAGTGTAAAACTGTAGTAACACTGACCTACACCTACAGTCATACTGAACTGCACCTACAGTCATACTGACCTACACCTACAGTCATACTGACCTGCACCTACAGTCATTCTGTCCTACACCTACAGTCATACTGACCTGCA